AGTAGCAGGGGTTGAAAATAATGAGCCAAAGGGGATGAGGGTGAGAAGAAAAATTCGCATTTTTAAATTTTTTAAAATTGTGTCGGATTGTGCTAGGCGAGCACAATAACTTTCCTTAATGACAAAATGTCGACAGGTCACATTTTATGGATTTTACAATACAACTGTTACAATACAACTAGGAACTTGGGTTTTAGTAGTAGAAGAATTCTAAACCCCATGTCATGTCTGAACCGTAGATAATCCAGTTTTGTAAATTGTGCTGAGTCGTGCTACACTAGATAAACCAATAACAATGTTGAAAAAGGTAAAATCGAGGGTGTTTAACAAATATAGCGAAAACAGTGGCGGAAAAAAAAAATGTTGCATGTTCATAATTTTGCCTACTGCGCCGGCTTGTGTGCGTATGCGTGTGCGTGTGCTGGACGGTCAAACTTCTTTTAATGATTAACTAAAAACCGCGTTTTGCATCACCCGGAACCAACGACGTGGACGTAGCGGTGGTTTGGCTCCTTTTTCTTTTTTTCTTTTTTTTTTTTTTTTTTTTTTTTTTTTTTTTTTTTTTTTTTTTAATTATTTTTTTACGGTAGTTTTAAATTTTTTTTTTTTTTTATTATTTCAAGTTTGTTAACTATTTTATTATTTTTTACTTTTTTAAATCTCCAAAATGTTTTTATTTTTTATGTTAGATTATATGTTTTTATAGAGATTATATATATATATTTTTTTTATTGAGTTAAATTATATGTATGTAATATAAATGTATTATAAATGTATTATATAAAAATGTTAATTTTGTGATTATAATATGTTTGAGTATAGGGATATTATTAATGGAAGAATTATATAAAATATATATTGTATTATTATTACATAAAAAATAACAGATAAAAAAGAAAAGACGTGCATACATATGTAGGAGTAATGAAATAAAATTTTATAGTAGTATTAAAGCAAAAATAAAATTGGTCTTTTTAGGCAAATAAATGCAAATAATACTCTGTATCTTTGACATCCTTAGTATATCTCGCTAATCTGTTTCGCATGTAACATAAATTAACAAATGCGGATTTATTACGAATTCTTGTGTTTTGTATTTAGTATTTTTTACTAAATCGTCGAATTCCACCCATTGTGATCCTCCTTGATAGGAGTATCCTACATAGTGTCTTTTTTCTATGCTACCATATCGAGCTACTACACCTGCTAAACGGAAGGAATTATTGCCGATCTGAAGTTTTGGCACAAATTCTTTAAGACGAGTAATGTCTCGTTCCAGTCTATTATCTGTTGCATCGCACTCTATAAAGATTTGTGTACCATATCTTATGTTTTCGGACATAAGTTGATTGCAACAGATTGACTTATTATCTGGCATACCTTTCAGTACAGCCTCAGATAACTCGCAAAATCCATGTTTCTTAATAATATCGACATTAATAGGTACGATTACGGATTGACGCACAATAATTTTGCTACATACGTTGCAACTCTTAGTCTGCACATAACTAGGATTGCTTTGGAAAACATATTGTGCAACATTTCCTATGCTTGAGAAGCAGTTTACAGTTATGATATTTTTATCTATTTCAGACTTAAAAATTTTAATATTCATTAATATTTCGGCTCTCAATTTATATGTTTTTTGGATACAACCGTTTTTTAAAAAAAAAGTAATAAATCGCATAATATTAGTGTCAGATGTTTCGACAATATTTTTATAAAATTCGTTAATGCATGCGCCTGCAATTGTGCACGTGATACTATCGAAACCACATGTATTAAGAACTACCACTCTTTTTTTGTTGATAGATATCAAGGAACATATGTTGCCATTTAAGAGATTTGTAATTCCTATACGTGTCTTTCCTACATTGGTTAAATCCCAATCCGGGCAATTGTCCAAATATGTTTTTCTTTTATTTGTTTGATTTGTATTCTTGTTTCTCCAATTATGTTCCAAGTTTAGTTCACTTATATCATCCAATGCATCATCACTTTTGTCAGGATTATATGATTCTGCTTCAATACGCGTCGAAGGATCACTTTCGTCAGGATTATATAATTCTGCTTCAATACGCGTCGAAGGATCACTTTCGTCAGGATTATATAATTCTGCTTCAATACGCGTCGAAGGATCAGAGTTTGGTTTGTCTCTAGGAAGATTTTCGCTAGCATTCGGAAGAATAGGTTCAGTTTCATTTGTGAAATTCCTGATTACACTATTTTCTATGACTTGATCATTATCTTTAGCA